GGCTGTCGCCGCGCTCACCCTGGAGCTGGGGTACAAAGAGGACGTGTCTGTCGTGGCGTGCAGGGAGCTCTTTTGGGTGAGAACAGTCCAGCCGGGCTGTTGTCAGCGTACGGCACCGCACGCTGCGGGTGGGCAGGGGAGCTGAGTTCCAGTGAGGCGTGAGGAAGGTGTAGGGGGTGAGAGTTCCAGACCAAGTGTTCTTTCTGTGAAGACTGGCCGAGGTCAGATGAACTCGAGAAACCAGACTTGACAGAAGCTGAACTAGGAGGTTGTTACCTCTCGTTTCGAGGCAGCCCCTGGTCTCAGGCTTTCACCTGTGAAGCGCTGAACTGGTTAAATAGTTTGACTTTCCATCCCCCATGAGACGGAGTCGCGATTCCAAAGACCTTTTTTGGTTCTGGTGTAAGGAAGAGTTCCGCGGCGCTGCTCAAGCGTCCGTGCTGCAGCAGTCATGGTTTGTGTTAGCCTAGCTAATGCAGCCTGACGTGAAAAGTTCTCTGCCCGATAGGGGGCCCTTAGATTGGATCCAGATTCTGTTTAGGAAAAAGATCTTAATTCTGCTTGCTGAACTTAGCATAGATCTGAGGAATTTTTAAGCCTCGAGTTCTAACCATAGAGAGGGCTGATTACGTGGGGTAAAGTGAATTTCCCCTATATTGAGCTGTGGGGGTGGATGGCTTTACGGTGATGCTAGTGCTGGCTGCGGGATGGCTTTGTTAGGAGCCCAGGGCGGGCCTGGGCACGATGGCTTTGGCAGCGAGGGAGAGCCAGCCCGGCACGGCACAGCGCGGGGCCCAGGCTGCTGAAGCGTGCCGTGAGACCGAGCGTGGCGGGGGGAACTGTTCTTTGGCCCGTGTTGCCGTTCCCAGGAAGGCAGGCAGGGCTGCAGGACGCTTGGCGTTCCTGCGTGTCCTGCAGTGCCAGCAGCGAGCTGCTCCTGGGGAAGCGCCTGCTTTTCGCCCAGCACGCCTGGCCCTCCAGAAGCAGGAGCGCGCCGCTGCGAGGATCGCCTGGCCCGGGAGCCTGGTGCCTGAAACGGGCCGGAGAGGGGCTGGTCCCGAGTGCTGGGTGTGCTGGGGCAGGCTGCTTCTGTCAGGTCTGCCTTTGGGCTTCTCTTCTGGAGGGGGGTGTGTGCCCCCACGCTCCTCTGGCCGTGCGTCTGAGGGGGTCAGGCTCAAGCAAACGTGGGTGAGGTGCCCTGGTGGCTTCCCAGAGTGCTCCTGGGTGGCCTGAGCTGGGGGGGTGGCTTGAAAACAGACAGGAAGAAGGTGGGTGTGCTGCAGAGCCTCTGGTGACAACATCGGGGTGTGCTGCGGGTGAAATGGCTGTCACCTTCCACGCCCAGCCACGAGAGCAGTGTTGCTGCTTAGAGAGATCTGTCTAAAAGGTCCATTTGTGACACGGGTCGCTGATGTGCCCTTTACGAGTCAGCAACAAGGGGCAGGGGGGAATAAAAAGGGGGGAAAACCTCCTAATTACCAGGGAGTGATCATCCCAGGAGAAGTCACAAGTTTGGATGGCGTCATCGTGCTGAGAGAAGACTATAAACACGTGCCCGAGCTGCAGGGACAAAACGAACAGCACCTTGAAGCTGCTGCCTCTGAACACCCCGAAGTCACAACCGGGATTTGTGGGTCCACAGTTCCACATGGCACGATTCAGGCTGGAGGGCGCCACTGGAGGCCTCTAGTGCAACTGCCTGCTCAGAGCCAGGCCCCCTCTGAAGGTAAATGGGTTTGTGCAGCTCCTCCAGTATCTAGTCGGGGTTTGGGTACAATCTGCTCTATTTTTGAGGCTTTGCTGTACGCCCTTGTGAATGGAGAGCAAGCCAGCGGGTGCTCAGCTCGGTTCTGCCCCCGGCACGGGGGGTGGTTGTGCGAATTGCGAGGCGGCTCCCCCCGGGAGAGGGGACTGGGCGCAGCGCTCTGCTGTCGGGAGGGGGAGTGGGTGACCTGCCAGGGACTCGGCTGGGAAGCTGGGACTGTGCCCAAAAGCCGTCCCTGTGCCAAAGCAGGAGCCGGAATGGGAGAACAGCTCAGCCTTCGGTTTGTGCGTGGTCCGCAGTGGCTGTTTGTGGAAGGAGGTGGGTTTCTGGCACCGCACTAAATCCTGGGGCTGAATTATTTCACCTGTAGCAAGGTGGCAAACCCAGCCAGCCCGTCAGAACCACCCTGTGCCGTGACAGAAGACATCCCACGGACAAGCAGCCCTTGAAGTTACCGGAAACACCACGCCGAAGGTTGGATGGACGCCGAGGTGAGGTGCTGGGCTCTAGCACAGGCTTCCTCC